TTGTTGAGCCACAGTTTGTGCAAGAATAATCTTATTTTTTTCAATTGAAAAATTCTTTGAATCATATAGCATGCATACAGCTAATTTACTTGATCAACTCACGCCAGAATTAATACCATTTATTCTAAAATATCTTCTAGACCAGGATATAAAACATGCTAGCAGTATAAATGATATATGGGAAAGAGAGGTAAATCTTGAACGGTTCAGAATAGTTTTCATAGATTTTTGATTTAGGATTGACATAAGCGTTAATGCAAATTACATTAGTGAAAAAATTGTGAAAATAGCATATGCAAAAGACAATAGTAATCCTAGAGTAAATGGGTTTCTAGGTGAGTCTTATTCCACATTAGAAGGGTCAATCTACATATTATCTTAAATGATGATAAGAAGCATAAAAGTATATCCGTTGAATTCATAGTTACTGGATTAGATTGGCCTAATCAATTTTCTGAAATACTCTTGGGTTCATTATGAATGCGAGAAAATGGTATAAGTTTAAATATGCATAATTCAACACTAACAATAGATACACTTAAGTATACAATCCTATATCAATTCAGCTGATAGTCAAATCTGAGCTATATCTCAGTCTAACTAATAATCTGAAGCAGTTATCACTCTGCACTATAACTAACCTTATTTTTTGAATTGAAAGATATTCTAACCATATAAAAATGCATATAGATAAATTACTAGAACAACTTCTGCCAAAATTAATACCATTTATTCTAAAGGATCTTTTAAACCAGGATCTAAAAAATTTTCGCAGTATAAATGATATATAGGCAAAGGAGATAGATCTTAAATAGTCTAAAAGAAAGACTCTTTTCTATTTTCGTACTCTGTCATTAGTTCAAGGTGAAAATACAGTCAAAGATTTTTATTCAAAGCTGAAAGAGTGTAATAAGAGTTTAGGTTATAATGAAAATTTCCTTAAATGCATATTATTAAAAGAATTATCACCTGAGAATGCATTTAAAGTTCTTATGGATGGTTTACAAGTACTTACGTTAGATGAGATACTGGAAAGACTTATTCTAGAACAATGATCACATGATTTTCCTGAAGGTATTTTGCTATTTTTTCGTTTAAAAATACAACATATAAACAGAATATTTATGACGTAATCAAGCATCTTTTATTTACCAGAACTATTAAAACAGATTTTACATTTTTTAGCAATAGATAAATCTCTCTACCCCGCTCTATTTGTTAACCAATTTTGGTATAGATATGCTATTCCTAGCTTATGAAAATATATCAAATTAAAGGAAAATGACCTGATATATGGGTACTATTTTCCGGATGGATATACTTATAGTGAGAGAAATCGTACTCAATGGAAAATATTTGTAAAAATAATGTGTGAAAAGAATAAGCCAACTCATATTTCAAATATAATCCATCTAGAAATTACTTATTATCATTCATTTTCAGATAAAAAAATAAAAAGTATTGCAAATACATTTCTGAATATAATTTATTTAGATATCAAAAATAGTATAGGTTTTGGAGATAGAACACTATTTATAATAGCGGAATCATATCCTAATTTAAGATATCTTAATTTGTGGGATGCTCAAGCAATAACCGATAAAGGTTTATGTGCAATCATACGATCATGCCATAAATTAGAATATCTAAATATTTCTTACTACAGAAATATTATCAATAAATCTTTATTTGAAATCGCAGAAAATTGCTATAATATACAAGTGTTTCATTTTACCGAAGCATGTCAGATCACAGATAAATCTATAAGTTGCATCTTAAACTCATGCTCAAATTTACGAAAACATATATTGCATATAGTAAGGGATGTCAAAAATGTTAATACTTTAATGCAAAGATATTTTAATATAGAGTATCTCAACTTTTGTGATGCCATGGCTTTATAGGATAATAGATTAATTATAGCTATTATCAAAAGATCTCCAAATTTAAGACATATAGAGATTGGCTATAATGATATCACTGATAAGGTTACTGAAGCGCTGGCTTATACTTATCATAAATTAGAATACCTCGATCTGTGTTGCTGTGATTTTGTTAGTGAGCTATCAATTTGTAATGTCGTACGTTTCTACCCAAAGCTCTAACATTTCAATCTTAGTTACTGCAATATTACAAGTAAGACTATCAAAGAAATTGCTCGCTTATGTCTCAATTTAAAATCTTTAGATTTAGAAGGATGTGAAAATATTAGCAAAAAAGTCATGGATCAGCTAAATCCAAATATTTATATCGAAAATTTTGATAAAGATTACTGCTGTTCTGATTCAGAATCTTCTAGCTTTGAAACTAAATTAGAATCTAAATAATCTAGTTAGTCCAGAGCATGTTGAGAGGTGTTTTACATGATCATTAATTAGATTTTTTTTGCATTACAAGTAGATTACATAAAATTTTTTTGACATTTTTTCTGAGACTGCGTGGTCTCAGAAATCTGGTAACTTTATAAATTTCTCTTGGTAAAATGTCACAGTCTCTATTTATATATACTAACTAACTTTTGAATATTTCACTTCTTGTATAAAATTTATCAATCATATCATCTGAGCTTGAAGTATTGAAATAGCATATCGTTAAACTTGAGGCTAAGAATGCTGAGCTTGAGGCAGAAAAAGCTGAACTTTTAAAGCGGATTGTGGAGGAGAATACTAAACGTGATGTTAGAGTTGAGAAACTGGTATAAAAAAATAAGGAACTCGAGACTAGACTTACAATAGTGGAACAGATTTTCTTACTAGTGGAAGAGCAGTCGAATAATGATAATCCTTCTGATAATAGTACATCTAAATTTAATTCAATTGCGGAGTATCATGAGAAACTATTAATGAATGTGAAAACAGATAATTCCTTTCCTGAAGAGAATTGCTATAATAAACAAGAACTAGTAACAGAGGTGGCTACAGTATCTGCTACCTCTGTAAAATGCTTACAAAGTACCTTAATGGTTAACGGCAATCATTGGAAGAGAAAGATATGAATAGTTTCTTGCTTGAGACTTATAAAAAAATTGTTAGTGATGAGATAAGGCAGCAAGAGGAAAAACTTCAATGTGAATCGACAATTACCAACCTATTATATAACTCTGAAAAAGACGATCAAGTGATTTTAGAAATTTTGAGAGAGTTTGAAAAAACCATTCCCTCAGAGAATGATCAGAATCATGCGACTTTAGGTGAACCAGATCTTCTATCTGTGAAGTAAGATGATGACGTAATTCAAGAGGAATCACTTGATGAAAATCAAATCGTAGAATAAGGCCTAATATATGAATTATATTCACCTATATTACCTAAAGAGGTCTTAGATGGACCAGATAATGTCAGCTCTACCAAAATCATAAACTCATATATTAGTTTGGAGAATATGATTTCAAGTTCTGCCTAGCACTTATCTTATTTATTTGAAATAGCAGTAAAATTCAGTCAGCAGGAAATATTAGACTGGCACAATTATTCTTTTAAATTTGAGAGCAAGGTAGATGCTCTTATGGCTGATAGTAAAATTAAGGATAAAACGGTAAGATCAATGATTTACAAGGAAATGAAACCATTTTTTTCTACTAAAATCACACAAGCTTACTTACGTAAAAAAACTCATAGGGCCAGAAAACATCTCATGTTATTTGGGAAAAATGGGGTTGAAATAGATAAATTATATAGCGCAACTGAAATTTCAAAACTAACTAATGCACAAATCCAAAATGTTATAAATCAAGTAAAAAAATATATTAGCGAATATCAGAGTCATGTGACTTTAAAAACCATTCTCTCGGGAAATGATCAGATTAAGGCTAAGGTAAGTACATCGGCAAATATATTATCTTACCTCAATCTAAGCCTGACTGATTCTATTTTTGCAACAAGATATTGAATCAATATCCTTCTTTATATAGAGAATTTAGTAGTGAAAATTTTGATTATTATAGCATTACTGATGAGACATCATGCCCATTATGCAAGTTAGATCATAATGATGAAGAAAGTATAAAAGGTAGGTATAAATCTGGATCTTATTTTATTAAATGTGAACAGCACGAAATTGAGATAACTGCATAATCTCATTACCCCTTTCTATATCATAGATACTTCGAAAGATGATCTAATTATTTTTTTAGAAATACGATAAGAAATAATAGACAGCTTTCTATTCAGAAATTTAAATTGATCTGTAATCATATAAAAAAGTAATATGAGTAAGTCTGATAAAGTATTAACCCCGAGTATCTGGATTGGCTTGCCAAATTAACTGGTTTACTATATGTTTTGACGGATAAGATTCAGTTCAGCTTATACAAAAAATATAAAAAAGAAACTGGATATAATCCATAGCAATTATTAGAAGCGCATGCATCAGAAGCCATCCTTCTCGTAAATTCAAAGCCAGAAAATAAAGCATCCTATTTATCTTTTTCTGAGCAATATGAAGAAAATGGGCCTATCACTTTCGAAGTCAAACCCGATCCAGAATTAATTATCAAGTCTGTCTTAGAACATTTCACATACCTGAAATTCCGAAATAGTTTCAGAGGGATTGATAATTATAATTTTGCATCACCTCAACCGTGGAGCTCACCATGTCCTATTTGCAATGGAAAACATGGGAATTATGGATTACATGGCTCATGGTACTGCGAAAATGGAAATCAGTTCCCTTATGACCCTGAATTAGCGAAGTTGCTATCCCAAGATAAGTTGGAATATTGTCTTACCTGCAACACTTCAAGCAATAAATTCAAATTCGCAATGTTAACATAGAAGCTTTATCATATAAAGCAAGTTAGTCTTGCGCTTGTATTTATTTTTTATCGCTCGCATATTTTAATACTACAGTAATAAAGTACTGGTGAAGACTTATCATACGTATCAAATAATAAAGACCAAAATTTCACTACGTCTCAGTTGATAAGTCATCTGATAACACATGATTGGCTGATCATTCGCGTTTTATGCTGACATGGATGCACTTTTATCAGTCATTCCATTATGAATAAAATAAATAGAATAATCCAATACTTTGACCAAACTCATAGCGATTGGAATATTATTGATTTTTTAGAAGACAATAAAGAGGAACCTTTTCGAATACTTATAGATTCGTATTTAAGATATCTCAAACATATTATTCAAAGTGAACACGAAAGCAAAAAAGAAAAGGCACAACTACTTGTAGATAAATATAAAGAGGTAATTTTTTTTTCATATTTGTTCAATCAACAAAATCAGTGTTTGGGCATCAGACAACCTACGCGCTTGTCTGATGTTTAAGTCTACGAGCCTTACTTAACACTGATCTGTCAGGGCACAGATAATCTACACGCTTGTCTGTTGTTGAAGCCTATGTAGCGAACTGACTTACTTACGAGCTGAGAACCATAACATTTATATTATTGAGAACACTAATTATCTCTTCTTTTTTTTATAAGGATACACGACCTGATTACCATCTGGCAAAAAGTTGGAGGCAATTGCAAAAATTTAACAATATGCGCGAAACTCCGAATACCGAGATTAATATCCAAAGTATTTGGTATGGCAATGAAATTCAGGGTGATGCAACAATTTCGAACCAGGGAAATGCCAATAACGTTCAAAATTCTATAGGGAAACGAAACTCTGATTCTTATGATGACGGTTCAACTGAGACAGACATTTCCTGTTCAGAAAACAAGAAAGTGTGTAATATTAACTCAAGAAGCATGACATATAGAATAATACTAAAGATATCTGTTATATTTCTAAAAAATTATACTTATCATTTATCCACAATAAATGGAAATGAAAGACGAAATCAGAACTTTCATCCTGACTGACGAAGGAAAAGATCTGAAGAGGAAGATAAGAGAAGATAACCAATCGAATGATCTGTTTCAATATCCTGAAAAAATAAATGAAGATGACGATGAATTTCTTGAAAATGTTCAACTTCTCTTTAGTGAATCTAATGAAGAATCAATTATCGAAAAATTGATGAGAGTTCTCTATTGAACGAAATTCGATTGCCCTCAGTAAACGTTAACAATAAAATATCAGAGGTAAATCTTGTTATAAATATTTTATGAATAAGTATTCAACAAATTTATTATTCTATTATTAATAGGAGTTCCTTGATACAAATATTATCGAAGAATTTAACAAATATCAAAAAAAAATACCAAAAACTCGCAAGGCTTTGACGTAAATTTAGAACTATCATTATAAACACAATTGCATCCTGCTTGTTAATATTCTATACATTCTATTCATTAGCCTGCGTATTGGGGGATATTGGATCTGACGAAGGAGAGTCTTAAAAACTCAGGTATAAAGGATATGGATATACAAAAATTATCTCAGGATTTTTCGAACAAAATTGAATGGAAAGATATTACAGCTCTAAAAGAAGTTCAAGAATATTTCGACGGAAATTGTGTTGACATTTATAATATCGATGTCATCAAAAAATTAGACAGGAACATGCAATTTATGTATGTATATTAATGAATACATTGTGTAAATTATTTTATTTAATGTTCCTATTTATATATTATTTAGGGTAGATAAATTGCCTAAGCTACGAAAGACATGCACCGAAGAAGAGTTAAAAATGTCAACAACATTTCCATTGTTTTCAGGAATTTTCAATTCACCGAATATAAATAATTCTTGGTAAATAGATCATTATTTTTTTTGAAGGAAATTCAGTCATATTACAGTTGACAATTATATCAAAAATACAGGGGTGAGATTCAAGCAATCTCGACAAATAAAGTACGGAATGAAGAACAAAATCCCTTCACAAAGACTAGAATTGGACACAAGGTTGACATGAAAGGAACCTTAATCAAAACGCTGAATAAATTTGAGATAATCTACGGCGAAGTTTCCGGTGGTTTGACTTCTTTCAGCTTGTCTGCTTCCTGTAGGAAAAAATAATACGTGGACAAAGTAAAACTTATGGTGATATTAAGGGACAGTCTGAATCAATTCTTTAAAAACTATTTGCTCGTAACAGACGAACAACGTAAAAAGTTGATAGTCTACAGTTGGTTGCAAGTTGGTAAGTTCGTTCAATGTGATATTTAGTATATATTAAAAAAATATATTAATATTTAAATGTCAGGAGTTGAACTAAGCTTTTACGCTATAGATTGGATTGGATGCGGAATATACAGATTTGGTAAAATAGATAAGTGTGAATTATCGGTTGATGAAGATGATTTAAGCATCCTTGAGGATGCATATTGCATTCTTAGGTTGCTAAAGGTAAGCTATTATACGATTAATCAGTATTTAATCGGCATTTTTAACATATAGAATCAATGTAGTTGAAATAGCTTGAATCAGAAAAAATCATAAAAGAAATCTTACAAAATAATACAAAAAATAAAAGAAGATGTATAATGTCAGAAAGTGATCCTTATTTAAATAAGAACCGAACTCCTATTAAATAGAGATCGTTGTTTGTAATAAAATTATCCTCAGCGTTTCTATGTATTCATTGAAGTTAATAAAGTACTTATCTTTACAATATGATCCACTTTTTTTGTAAGTGATCCTGGAGTCAATTAATCGTATAGCTAAGAATGATAGCGTGAGGTGTGCATCAGGAAAAATAAATGTTACAGTATATGTCGTTTCGTATACATAATAGCACTTACTTTATTGCACAGACATCAATGTCGAAATTCTTTCTTGAATCATTCTGTACAACAAAAAACCGTTCCCTTGGGGAACGATCAGAATTTTCTGATCATGATATTATGTTACGTTTACTCCATTTTCCTACCAAAAAACAGATCAATCACCTGAAATACGCAGAAGATATTCGGTAAAATTCTTGCCAAAGAATAGAGGCTGAAGTCGATTATTTTTCTCGTGTGGGAGGTGATTGGTGTGGATTCCTCTGGAATCTACATACTAATTTTTTATTTAATACAGGGTAATTTAGAAAATCTGGATCAGCTAATTATTGGGCAATATGATTTCTAGCGAAGATCCAGGGACTTTCATGTTTTGCAATGATCGTTGCTATTAACTGCGGAGAAATTTTATTTATAAAAATTCTGGGTGGGACGTCTGGTAAGAGAATCAAAAATTTTAATATTATAATTCTGCAAAACGCATAATTCAATCAATCATCAAATGCTCTCAAATTCTGACATTATTTTGAATTATCTACAATAATATTTATAAAAAAATCTATTTTATAATAATTATTTATTAAATAATTTTATTTATTTTACAAATATACTAGTTCATAATTTACAAGCTTATTTATTATACAATTTTATAAAAGTTTTTGATTCAAAAGAATTATCTTTATAGAAATTATAATATCTTTATATAAAATAGAAGAAATTGAAAATATTTTAAAAATTATAAATATAAATCAAAAGATATATTAGTTTAATTTTTAATAAATAGTTTAAAATATAAAAAAAAATAGGAAATAGTTATACATATCATGAAATTAATAAGAATAAAATATAATTGAAGAGTAATATTATATTTAAAGTACTTATTTTCAATTTAAAAATCAATTTTCTAATATTAATATTTTAATTGATATTATCCTATTAGTATCACTCTTAAATATAAATATAAGAAAGAATATTTTTTTAACATAAATTAATGAAATCTAGATTATATAATAAGATGAATTTTGAGACACTAGATATGCATTAATGATACTTCTAAATATATCTGATAATATTGAAAATTTTAATTAAAATAAGATATTTAATTATTAAAAAAATAAATATATATGATAAGTATATACTAATAATATTTAATTTTTTATAATATATAATATAGTAATAATATTTTATTAATTATTTTTACAAATTTATAATATAATAAAGGTTTATAATTTTAAAGAATTATTTTTATAAAATTAAAAATTTTAAGCTATTAGAAATTAGATTATACATCAAAAAATAATTTCATATATTATTTAGAAATTATATATATAAAACTTTCAAAAATGACATAAACTCATATTTTAATTTATATAATTATAAATTTTATTTATATATAATTTAAATATTTTAAAATTAAAAATTTTGACTTATGAGTTGACTTAACTAGAAATTCTAAATTTATACCTTTAAAAATTTTAGTAAATTGATTATTAACTTAAAATTTTACTAATATTTTTTTTTTGATTTTTACTTAAAATATATTATAAATAAAATTTCTAATAAGTCAAATTAAATAAATTTTTCAAAAATTTTTATTAAATGATTATAATTAAATAAAAAATTTATAATTATACAAATTAAAATACAGTTAATTGTTTTTAGAATTTTGATTATAAAATATTATTTTTTATAAAAAAATATTGTATTAACATTATTAAAAGAAAATTTCTAAGTTTACACAAGGTATATGTACCCGAATCACGTAACAGATATATTTGTCACCGGTATCATTCCTCTCCGCCTTTGGTTTTTAATATTTATTTCAGGGAACCTAAGAATTTTTTCGGCGAAAAATTATTATTCGTAACTCACTATCTATCACGTGGCTAATTTCTTAATTTCTTAATGCTAGCGAATAATAATGTTAATGTCGGTCATATCACGTGATACGTGTACATACACCCGTGTAACAAATAGCCAATATTAATCAATATGAAAAACTAATAAAAAATAGACAAATAAATATATCGCACTAAATTAACCGTCTCTGTATAACCCTAACGACGTACAAGAAAAGTGGGT